CTGGATATTCACCATCAATAAACCATACAGCTGGTAGGTACAGTTCAGCATCAGTTTGAACTTGCTTATCAGCCACTTTTAAAAAGCTTTTGCTAACATCCCTCTGTCAGGAATGTCAGGCATCATTGCAAAACCAGTTTTCAAGAACTCAAAAACTGTTTCTGTGAGCATGTGAACAAAGGAGGTATACAAAGTCCCTTCTGTCTTAGTAGAATATTATTTGAATTATCTTTTTCTTGTTAATCCTCTATGAGACAAAGAATAAAGTACAAAAAGATATTGCAGACTATCTTAGTTTTGCAGCAGATCAAACTCTAGAAAATGGTTCATGGAAGCTGACACCCCTTTGCCACAAGCAAGTCTTACAAATTCTGATCATCCAGTATTCTCCACTGATGCTTCAGATGGGATAAATCAGAATAGATTCCTTACTTTAGCGGATCTACAAGCATTCATGTCACCAGAAAACCTTACTCTCTACTTTCACCTGAGTTTATTAATAACAGAGTGACTTCATCCACAACTTGGTTGTTTGGGGTGTTTTTTGTTTGTTCATTTGTTTTGATTTGATTTTTTAAATGAGCTATGATCTTCAGGTTCCTGGTAACTCACAAATGCAGCAGGTAACTGAAAAAAGCATTAATGTATTTGTTCTCTATCTTTTCTCTGCTATTTTGTTTTCTTCCTTTTTTTCTCTTAATTTCCATGTCAAATTATCCATCTGACCCTACTTTCTACTCAAAGCTTTTCACTGGAATGCGTTTAAATATTACTGGCTATGGAAAAATCAGAAATTGACTCCATTCACTGGAGGCTGGCCTTACAGAAATACTGACAAAATAATTCACATGTAAAAACACAACCTTTTCTAATCCAAATTAGAAAAAATTGCAACATTATCATCTTGGTGAGTATTTATACCCGTTTTACAGAAAAGGAAAGTGATGCAGAGAAAGGATGAGCAACGAGAGCCTTAGTCCATTAATGTAGGTTCAAGCTGGCTGTCAGGCCACCATCTGCCTGAAGTAAGCCATCCCCTTCCTGAACCTTTAGATATCAGTAGCCAAACTGCTGTCAGTAGGTTGTTATTCCACTCATCATTGTAGATTTTGCACCATATTCTACAAAACTATTTTGTCTCTACTCACCAGGAACATTCAGCCACTGTTTATAACAAGTTTAAGACTCAAAACAAAGGCCTAAAAGCTAGAAAAAGAGACTAAGTAATTCACTGCACACACTGTTTCAATTTTGCTCTACTTACAGTAACTTCTCAGGAAAAAAATAAATAAAAATCCTCAATCTGTTTGTTGTTTCAGTTCATCTTAGGGTGACATAAACAGCTTTCAGTTCTTTATATTCTGCACAAGCCTCCAGAAATGTTCACTGTTTACTAGAGCTCAGTGGTGTTAAATCAAGTATGACTATCACCCTTTAAGGCCTAAATCATAGAGCGATACTCATACCAACAACACATTTTGACAGTGTCGACACCTTCTTACATGGAATCAGTTTAGCCACACATAAACCTGTAGAAAAGGGCATTAAGACTAAGTAGAAATCCTAGCAACCACTTTCTAGTTTCAAAAGTTGGCATTTTCATTCACCGTATCCAGCCTCTTGATTAACTCACTGTCAAAATTTACAGCGCATCTCACAAAAGTTAAACAGCTGGATGGAGAACTGGCTTAAATCACTTTCTGTCATCATTTTGGCTGTGTAATTGTAAATGGATAGGAAATTATACTAACTCCAAAGTGGTTACAATTCTGAAATAAACTCAGCAACTGGTGAGAGTCAAGAACAGCTTGTTAGTTCATTTGATCACCTAAAAACTTTCTCAGAATAGAATTCAAATATGATCAAAACTCTGCATGATATTTCTCTTCTTATACCGGATTTTAAGAGCAGAATCATCCAATATTGTAGCACCCGGAGCTGTGTTCAAGAAAATAGAAAAAGAAAAACCAACAATGTGCACCTGGGGAGTAGATGAAAGGAAACCCTGCTTCTGTTTACTTGATCAACTCCCTCTTGTTTAGTATTCATGACAAGTGAGCAACAACTCCTCACCATCCCTTTATAAAAAGCAAAATGCTGAAGATTTGAGGAAATGTGAGAGTTGATCAAACCTCTCTGCCTCACGCGGGAAGCTTTGACTTTTCTGTACAACCCAAACAGGTCCTTAATGCAATGCTCTCCGGGGAGGCAAGACTCGGAGCCTCACCAAGCCCCGCAGCCCTACTCAAGGCGGAGGCTGCCCAGCAGGGCGGCCGGACCCGGCGGCGCGGAGGCTGCCGGAGCTGTCCCTTCAGCACCACGTCCCGCGGCGAAAGCAGACCGCGGCTTGGTGTCAGCGAATAGCGAGGATCGCCTTTGATTTAATTAAAGCTACGCAGTTTAAACCAACACGGTAAAGAGGTGATCGCATACGTTGCTAGCACGGCGATATAAGGAACATAATTAAACTAGACATAAATTAGTCTGCTATTATATGCATATTGGTAGACTATGTGGTTCCATTGATTCCTCTTGCACTTCTCAGAAGAGAAGTTTGTAGGGACAGATTTATTACTCTGGAATACGCAATGATTGTTTTTACTCACTCTGCTTCAACAGTCAGTCTGAGATGGTTATTTAGGGGCACTTTACGTGAGTACTTACTGACTACAGCACATTCTCTAATGCATACGCTGCATGTGCTTCTTGAAGGTTTCAGAGGGAGAAGGAAATGTATATGAGGGCATACACACAGACTAAAAATAGGAGCCATCACAAAAAATTAAGATGAACATCTCAGATAACTGTCCAATGCAGGAAACACAGAGAAGAAGTATTTTCTTATTTTCCTGATAACCGTAATATATAAAGTTGTACTCTCCCCCTGTGAAACAAATGCTTTTAGATTAAAATTAAAAAATAAAGAAAAATCTTGCATGCTAATTTACACAGACAACCGACAGATCTCACAACATTCCAAAACTACTTCAGTATGAAGAGATACATAAAATAGAAAAACACTTGGCAAAAAGAAGATAGTGACTATTAATAAACTTTCCAAAGACAGAACACATATCCTCCTGGAGCAGAGCTTCCCAAATGAACAATCGTCAAACAATGTCTGTCTTTCTCCACCATTCTTTATTTTCACCCTCCCTCACAGTGGCTCCCTGTTGCTATACACATGTAAAACTTAAACAATTCTGACATCCCAAAGTGCCTCTGCCTGCAGAAATGTACACTATCCGTTGCACAATGATGTGCTCTGAGCTTTCTAAATGAATCTCACCTCTTTGCATGAGAGAATGTCATGGGCTTCCAGGCAAGTTGCACTTGTTTCCAGGTAAAATATGGTCAAAAGAGCAAACCATTGTTAAAAAAGCTTTTTCTGCTTCTTACCAACCAAGCTTAAGAACACAAAGTACTGCAGCCACCACTTAGGCAAGAGTACAGAGCACTATGAGTATACAGGCATGTGTGTGGAAGCCTTGCTGTAATCCAGGGCACAAATTTCACTTAGCACAAATAAATGACAAGACACAAAGCAAGGAAAAGAGTATCCATAAGTAAAGGAGGAAAGAGAGTTCTGATGTTGTAATGAATAGGAGACATCCAAGCCATCTGATAATTAATATGTTTATTATATATATATATATAATATCAGAAAAAGGAGATTACTATTTAAAAGGACAAATAGGCTTCATGTTGCCAGAGTTTTTCAAAGAAAAATTTTAATGCAACACATACAAGACAATCAGGTGCAAATTTAAGTAAATGCAGCTCAAAGTATGGTGGATGGCATATTCTGCCAAAAATCGCCAGTAGCTTCAGGTGGCAATATGGAAATTGGCTGCAACAAGCCCTAAGTGGTAAAAAAAAAAAGATTGAATCTTTCTATCTTAGTAAGGAAGTGAGTCTTTTATGCCCTGCTCTCTGTGCTACCAAACAGCCACTGAGCATGAAGGGTCTTTCAGAGCTCCCCAGATGTTAGAGGGGAGCATCTACAAGTGCTGGGAGAAGGACAGGTCAACTGCCTTAGTAAATGTACCCTGAATGCAAAATAAGGAAGAACACACCTGCTAATCAAGCCAAAGTCAGAGTTGTAGCACAGTTCTGCGTGCACGCTGCAGCCTCCAGTTATCGTGGTAGTTATTTTTATAACAAGGAAGCAAACTTTATGCAAAATGCCCTGTTTCAGCTGAACAAATCAGAGAAGTACAAAATGACAGTCTGTGGCTGTGTCCACTCTATTGTCCTGGCAAATGGCACACCCAGGGAAACCTGGCAACGAAGATGTGACAGAGGACATCACTCCTCTGGGCTGTATGCCCGCAAACAGGAGATGCATTCTGTGACCTGTTGACACTCCAGCTGCAAAGAAAACTTCAGGAACACATTTGAGAATGCCCAGGACAGGCCCAGCAATAGGAACACAGCTGTGGGAACCCCTGCCAACAATGCCAAGACAAAGTTTGGCAAAGTAGGGCTGCCCTTAGCCACAGCTACATCCAGAGGTTTCCCAGCTCAGTCAGTTCCCACGTCTTCATCATTTTCATACTCAACCACCTGCCTTATGTTTAAGATTTCTCTGCATCTCTTAAGTGAAGGTGCATGCACATTCCAGGAGGAGCATGATGACAGGGCCTAATTCTTCCTGCAGGGAACCCCCAGAGAGCCTCATCCAGAGAATGTGACCCCCCTCTTGAGAGTGTCATCACACCTCTTCTCTCCTACTTCTCTTCACTACCCGTGCCACAGCTTGGCAATAGCCACCAAGTAGCCACCATCCCTCCCAGGTAACCTCCAGGCTCCATCACCACAGGAAGGGATGCAGGACAAATCCAAGTCCAACAAGTTGTCCATGAAGAGCCACAAATTGCATAACACGGGAGGGAAGACAAAAAACTCATCCACCACTTAACCCGTTGCATGCCACAGCCCCCCTGCCCTTCTTCTAATCTGGAAGAGCTTTCGCCCCCTCCCCAAAATGAGACACTCACCAATGGTCGTGATGACTGTGATGGCAAAGTAGAAGGAACCGGCGAATTTCCACTGGACACCAGCCCTGTGTGGCTCGGACTGCATGATCACCAACTCCAGCTGCCGGTAGTCCTCGCTGGTGATGTTGTACTTTCCTTTGAGCCGGATCTCCTCGGCTTTGAGTTTCTCCTCCTCCCGCATCTCGTTGTCGGACTCCAGGGCATCAAAGACGGCAGCCCCGACCAGCAGGTAAGTGAACGTGCAGATGATGAGGGACAGGGTCCGCACGTTCTGCCTCTTCATGGCCGCCAGCAAGGGGCGAGTGAGGGGACCATGTCCCCCCCTGGCCGCCCGGGGATCCGACAGGCCGCAGCAGCCGCAGCAGGGGGGCAGCTGCCGGGGGGGCTGGCGGCTGCTCCGGGGCAGCTTGTGCTGCGGCGGCGGCCGCTCCCCGCCCGCCTGCTCGGGCTCCTGGGAAGAGGAGAGGCACAGGAGGCTGCTGGAGCGCCGGGACCAGGTGCCTTGAAGCCGGGAAACTCTGCGCAAGACCTGCCCAAACCAAGCTGTCCCAGTGCGCAGGGCCATCCAGGGCACCCCCGCTCCTCCCCAGCACCGAGGCCAGGGGCAGGGGGTCCCCGCCGAGCTCTCGCCGAGGGAAGGGAGCGCTGGGCGGCGGTCCCGGCCCGGAGTCCTGTGGCAGGCGGGTGGGTCCCCCCGCGAACTTGGAGCGGGGAAGGGTCCCCCGCAGCCCGGGCGGGGCCGTCCCCGTCCCAAGTTTTCTTCAGGCGGCGGTGCGGCGCGGCCGGGGGGAAACGAGCAGCGGCAACGCGTCCATCCGCGTGGAACCGCGCAGGGGACGAGGAGAAGCGGCCGCCGTCGGGGACAGCCCGCGGGGCTCGGCCCGCCCCGGCCCCAGGGAGCGCCGGCCGGGCAGGTCGGGACGGGCTGAGCTCTTTATTCCTTCCGCCGCGGAGCGAGGCGGAGAGCGGGAAGCCGGCTTGCTGCAGGTGGCCGCGGAGAGAGCAGCGGAGCGGCGTCCGGTGCGGAAAAGGCGGCGGCGGCGGCGGCGGTGTCAGGCGGCGGGCGGGGAGTTGAGGGCAGCATCCCCGGGCGAACCGGGCCGAGCCGCCGCTCCGGCGGGAGGAGGGGGCGGCGGGCCGGCGGCGTAGCCCTGGCGGCGGGCAGCCAGCGCCCCGCAGGAGCCGGGAGGAGCGGCGCGGAGCCGCCCCGGCCGCCGGGCGGGAGAAGGGAGGCGGGAGCGCGGCGAGGAGGCGGCCGGCAGCCGCGGAGCACCTGCCCCGGGCGGGAAGCGGCGGGGCGGGCGGAGCGGAAAAAGCCGGAGCCTTCCCCCGGGGAGAGAGAGCGGCGTGGGGAGGGGGGCTGAAAGCTCACAAAGCCGGAGGAGAAAAAAAAAACACCCCGGGGCGGGGGGGGGGGGGGGGAGAGAGGGAGGGAAGGAGGAAAAAAAAAAAAAAAGGGCTACTTTCACGGCTGCTCTAGGGGCTGGGGCTGCTTTATTTCGGATGGTTTTAGAACAAAGCCGTTAAGAAAAAGAGCAACCGTCCTCCTCCTTTTCCTCCTCCTTCTCCCAGGCTCTTGACATCATCTCGGGGAAAATGAAGCCCGCGCCCCTCAGCCATCGCCTGCGCGTGTGTGAGTGTGTGCGGGTGTGCGCGCTCCGCCGCCGGCACGGGAGGCGGGAACTCGGCTTGGCCCGCCGCGGGGAGCGGCTTAACCCTCTCGGCGCCGTCCTGTCAGGAAGCGGCCGCGGGGCTCCCCCGCCGCGGTTCCTTCCCACCTCCCCCGGGCTTGGCCACGCCTCGGCCGCCGAGCGGGGCCGGGCGGCGGCTGTGGTGGCGGCGGCGGCGGCGGGGCGGGCCGGGCTTGCGGAGCTCCTGCGGGTCGGATCGCGGCGGGAGCGCACCGCCCGTTGCCGCCCACGGGGAGGGCTGAGGGTTACGGGCGGGACAGGTGGGGCCGCCCCTCGGCACGGCCGTCGGCCGCGCACCGCAGCCCCGAGCGGCACGGTTACAAGACTCGGCTCCAGTCGACGCGGTTTCAAACGTTGCGATCTGCACGCGAAGCCCCACAGTCTCAAACGCTGCAGTTTCTTCAACACCGCACCCTCAGAGCTGTACAGGCAAATACCCCAAGAACACAGGTCTACACACACAGCTTCGAGCACCTCAGCCCAGTATAACAGCTCCCAATATCACAGCTCTGCACACACAGCCCCAGTCACCACAGCTTCAAACACTACAGCCCCAAAAAACATCACAGCCCCAAACACTACAACCCCAAACAATAGAGCTATATTTGCAAAACCCCTAACAATACAACTCTACACACACAGTTCAACACCACAGCCCTAGCCACTACAGCCTCAAACATCACAGCTCTGCAGGTCTACACACAGCTGCGAACACCACAACCCCAAACACCACAGCCCCTAGCACCACAGTTCTACACACACTGCCCCAAACATCACGGTTATAATACACACACAGCCTCAAACACCACGGGTCAAGATAGGCAGCCCCAAGCACCATAACTCTACACAAACAGCCCAAAACACCACTGCTATATACACTAAGCTCCAAACTCCGCATCCAAACACATACAGCCCCAAACACCACAGGTCTACAGTCACACAGCCCCAAGCACCAAATCTGTAAAGAGCCCTACCACCACAGCCCAAAATATCACAGCTCTGCATGCACTGCCCCAAACAATGGAACCCACAAACACCACAGCTCTACACACTCAACCCCAATCACCACAGTTCCAAACAAACACCACAGCCATACAACTGTACAGCCTCCAGCCAGGGCTCCTCCTGCTCATCTCTTCTGGGTCCCCCACTTCACCATGAGCACTTGGTGCCACCACAGGAAGCTTAGGTCCATGTTTATGCTTCAAGGCAAGGCTGTCCTTCCTTGTATCACCTTAAAATGGTAACTGTAGGCCTCTCCTGTATCAGAGCTGTGCTCTGCAGTCTTACGCAATGAAGGCTGACTTGTTCCTGGCTTCTCTTGAGCCTCATTTTAGATCTTCCTCAAATCTGAGCACACCAGGGCTTGTAACTGTTGTCCTCCATCCTTAAAGCACGCTTCACTTCTGACTACGTGTTGCTTAAGGTCTTTGGACACACTTCCTTTAGCATGCAGTGGGAACGTGATCTCTTCAAAATGGATCAAATCTACTCTGTTTGAGAGACTGAAGCTCTCTGAAAGGAGCACCTTGGGCTGAGCAGCCAAAACAGGTCACAGAGCCCTCCATGAACCTCTTGGACACAGCGAGGAGTAGGGATTTGTTTCATTAATTCAGCAAACAGAATTTCACCCAGGGCAAAGTCTGGATCATGTCACCTAAGCATTACTGAAATCATTATGAATGCCATGCTGAACAAGAAGGTTTCGCCTACTGATAGAAAGCTTGTGCATAGCAGCAACAGAAAGAAAGAAGGAAAAGAAGGAGAAAGAGGAAATATGTGGTTTTGATCAACTCCTTCTTAAAAATAGAAGTCTGATTATCGTTGCCCGTTTCTGATTCCCCAGAGGAGAGCAGGAAAAGGAGAAGGATCTATAAATAGTGTGCAACACAGAGAATCCTATAGCAAAGTCACTGGGAAAGATCAATAGCATGATTCAAGGAGGGCTCCAAATTACATCTCAGGGGAGGGAAGTGCTGAATGGAATTGATAAATGAGTTGCAAATGCTGTGTGTGTTGTGTGTATCTAATTAACAGAGGGTGACTAGGATCAATAGCAACGAAGGAGCTGGTCTAAAAATAGTGCTTAAGCAAGGACTGCAACCTGCGGGCAACAGCTTGGATGGAAACGTCCCCTGAAGTAATTAACCTTTAGCTGGAAAATGATGGCAAGCGTGAGGTCAAAGGAGAGCCTGAGGGCAGCTGAGGGCTGAGGTCTCCGAGGGGCTTTGGGTCACAGAATAGCATGACAGTTATGGAGAGTACAAGCACCGCCGTGGGTCTGCAACCCTCCTCCATTGGGGGTCGGGCTGCAAATTTGTGTAGTGCTTAGTGGAGAAATATCCAAGTATTAGCATTTTGTTGGCACTGCAAAGTAGGAAATATCTGTAGTTTGCACATGTTTCAGTGTTGCTTAGAGAGGAGTTACATCCATTTACATCTACAGAAATTTATGATTTTCTTCTTGTTTTCTGACCTTCTTGCAGAGAAAATATGCACCTACCTGAGGACTAGCACTCAGTCTTTCCTCATTCAGACTCATCAGCATAACTCTCTAAACCACAGTGCAAGCAGCATTGGAAATGTTCCTCAAGCACTCTATCTACAGCAGAGCAGTCAGGGAAACTTCAGGAAGAAGGAGTGATGTTGGACAGGATGATCAGTGGCTCAGCCCACAGGCTCTTGTGGTTCCAACTGAAAGTCTAGTGTCAGTCTGAGTGCAGGACTGGGACCCAGGGTTGTACAGTGTGACTGAAAGAGAAAGAAACCATAGAGATGAAGAATGTAGAAATTGTCTATTTTCAAAGCTGGTGTAGAAAATGTTGGAGAGATTAGAGATTTCTCTCCTTAATGTAATGGAAATGGCTAAAAAGATCCTAGCCATTTTTTTTCTCAGTAAGGAAAAATGATCTCTGTGAAGAACTGGAGACCTGGGAAGTAGTAGTCTGAAGTAGTAAGCCTGGTTATTCACCAAAAGGAAGGCTAACTCCAAGTGTCAACATTCATCTTCTCTCACATTAGTCCTACTTGAGGAAGAGTGAGCAGGTTGGAAGATAGCCTTGAGTTGCACAGTGCTTGTGCTGGCTGCTGAGAGCTGTAGAATCATAGACTCATTAAAGTTTGAAAAGGCCACTAAGATCATCTAGTCCAACTGTCAATCCATCCCCAGCATGCCCACTAAACCATGTCCCTCGGTGCCACATCGACCCTTTTCTTGAACATCTCCAGGAACAGTGACTCTACCTCCTCCCTGAGCAGTCTGTTCCAGTGCTTTATCAAAAGGTAAGCAGGTTCATCCTCTCCTTCGAGAAGAACCTAATGAGAGTTAGAAGTCTCCCCTATTCCAGATAGTAGTGTTACAGCCACTCCTGTTTTACCTTGAGTTTTCTCTGCAGCAAAGGCAGAGTAGGGAGAAATGCAAGAGAGCAAGTATATGGGATTCTTTTCACCTCCTCAAATACTCCCAACCTCAGACTATTCTGATTCAGAAGATTTTTCAGTTATTTGGTCTATTTAGTGATCCATAATGGATCTTACTTCCAAGCATTTGTCCCTTCTTTACCTGAATCCAACTAAAATTTCTTCATCCTCAGCATCCCCTGTGAAG